TACTCGCTTCATCCGCGTGTCAAATTCACTTTGTTTGCGTGTAAATAGACGTGTGAACATTTTGAGTTTACTCGCTTTATTCGTGCATCAAATTCATTTAATTTGCGTGTACATACATGCCTGAACATTCAAGATTCATCGTGCCCTCAAGGAGTCTTATTTAGAGTACAGATGCATCTCATCTGCTGGGTCTCAGAAGCCATGCCACATGGGAAGTAAGAATTTAAGTACTCGATTCATTTGTGCATCAAATTCACTTCATTTGCACCTAGATAGACACGTGAACATTTTGAGTTTACTTGCTTCATCCGCGTGTCAAATTCAATTCATTCATGTTTAAATAGACGTGTGAACATTTTGAGTTTACTCGCTTTATCCGCGTGTCAAATTCACTTTGTTCGTGCGTCGATGCGTGAACATTGAGTTAACTTGATTTATCTGCGCATAAAATTCGTTACACTTGCGTGTAAATAGATTAATGAACATTGTTTACTCGCTTCATTCGCGCGTCAAATTCACTTAATTCGTATATAGCGTGAACATTTTGAATTTACATGCTTCATTCGCACATAAATAGACGAGTGATTATTTTGAGTTTATGTGATTCATTGGCAGGTTAAATTCACTTTATTTGTGCGTAAATAGAAGCGTGAGCATTTTGAGTTTACTCGCTTTATTCACGTATAAAATTTGATTAATTTGTGCATAAATAGATGCATGGACAATGAGTTTACTAGATTCATTCGCGTGTCATATTCACTTCATTGGCATATAAATAGATGTAAATAGAAAAAAGATTACATAGGAAATCAGTGCAAATGCACCAACATGTGTGAATTTCTGCCAGGCGACGTGAATGAGGCAAAATGCACAACACATTTGCTGCAAACAGGCGGAATTCGCCTCAGTTACTTCTTTTGCTCTAATTCACATTATTTAGTTTTGGCGGAATATTTGCTTGAGGTGAAAAACCCCCAGCAAGTAAACTGTGCATTACACGGCAAACTGCTAAATATCGATTTTGTCTGCAAATTAAAAACACCTTCATATAGATTTTAAATCTGTGAATCTGCGTCTCGTTTCAGAGGCTGCTATACTGCAGAGGTAGTATTTTTGACTCAAATGAAATATACTGTTTTCCCAGGATTCCGAAAATATAATAAGTTGTTTGCAATCACGTGATTCTGGTGATGCGCAAAATTCAGATGGAGGGCAGGAAGTAAAAAACTCAATGGGAGACATGGAGAAAAGTCCATATTTTTTTGTGAATATACCTTATTTTAAAGCAGATATAAATAGAAAATAATCACAGTGTTGGGCATGATTCTTATATCATGAGCGTTGAGTTTTTTTCTGAACTAAAGTATATTTCCTGTCATCGAGGCGATAGATACTGTATAAGCTATGTCACATTTAAAAATACTACAGTAAATATTGTAGTGTTTAGAAGCATACTAAAGATAAATACTTGAATTAAACTGTCCTAGTAAATTTACTGTTGGTGTGGTACAAAGCAACTGTAGTAATTAAAAAAAATATTCAATAATCTTCAGTAGTATTCGGTAGCATTCATTAACAAAGAGTTGTACACACTATATACTTTACTATGTGGATCAGAAACATTCATTTATTCATTTTCTTTTCAGCTTAGGCCCTTTTATTAATCTGGGGTCACCACAGCGGAATGAACCGCCAACCTATCCAGCACATGTTTTATGCAGCGGATGCCCTTCCAGTCACAACCATCTCTGGGATGACATCCATACGGACTCATTCACACTCATACACTACAGGCAATTTAGCCAACCCAATTCACCGGTACCGCATGTCTTTGGACTGTGGGGGAAACCCAGAGGAAACCCACACGAACGCAAAAAGAACATTCAAACTGACTTAGCCAATGCTGGATCCAGCGACCTTCTTGCTGTGAGGCAAGTTTTAAAGAGTTTATTATAAATTACTATAGTTCATTTCCCCATGCAGATATCTTCCAGACATCACAAAATATTTTTGTAAGGGGGAAAAAGTGCTCCACAATAATAATCCTGTAGTTTTGTCGCAAGGGTTGCATTTCTTTTATTGTTCTGTTGATGAACTTACCTTAAACAAACGTTCACCACTGCAGCACATATAGATGTTAACGTTAATCTGCCGAAACGTCAGTAAAGACTTGGATTATTGCAAAACAAGACAGAGATTTCATTGCAGTGATTACATTGCAATGTACGTTATTTATATTCTCCTGGATTTTGTGTGTGGTAGTGTTTGTATCTGATTTTTATTTAACATATTAACATGTTTTTACACATACCTAGGCCTGTATATAATCTTTATTGGTGCTGTCAAACGAATTGTCACGTTCAAAAAAAGTTTGTACTCATGGATGTATTGAAAAAAATGTTTATTACATGCCGCTTTTTCTTCCATTTTTCAGCCAGTTTCTTTACCTTTGTCCTCTTTACGGACTAAAACTTTTGGAAGGCTAAAAAAAGCTGTTCAGCATTTCTTATTTTGGCCAATTTAAACCACTAAAAGCAACATGGAACAGAAACATTTGGATGTTGTAACAGAAATTCCTAGAAGAATTAATTCCTGCCCTTCATCTGAATTCCGCGGATCATTAATGACGTCATGTGAAAACAACCTATTGGTGAAACTGGCAGTAGGCGAAGTTACAAAGACCAAAACAAAGAGAACCCCTCTGACCCAGAATTTTCAAAAGAGAATAACTGACTTTATGATTGTTTTTCAGATAAAAAAGCATGTTCACCTAGCATGTTTCTTAAATATCTGCATCACATTATGGTATTTTCATGCATTAAAAGACTCAAAAAAACTTTCTAAACTTTAAGGGTGCTAATATTTGAGGAGGCCACTCTCCAATGCTAGTGGACTTCACTCACCATTGCAACTCACTGGCCCTCACGACACACTCCAAACACGTCATTCAAGATCAGCGTCAAAAGTGTTTTTATTGCATCCATGAGGATTTTCCCACAAGCAGTCACACATGCATTGAGATGGAGGCGGTGGAAACCATGAATAAGAGGTGGCAGAACTGAGGTTTTGACTTGCAGGCATAAACTTGGCCGACATAACGCATCCTACGGGACCTTTCTGTCACAGTGCATTATGGGTTACAAATTGCAAAGCAGACGGAAATCTCTTTCTGCGTTACAACATACTGGATCATATATCATCCACCAGTCGAAAAATCACAACTAAGTCAGCCTTTGAAATAGTATTGCAAGTAGCAGTCAAAATTAAAATATAAGCTGTAAAATTATTGCTGGTGCTGAATAAACCGGGCAGCTGATTGCCTGACTGGCCTTAATGAGACATTGGATTCGTGGTCAAAAGGCCCAATTTAATAGACATATAAATCTGTAAAAATAATAATAATAATAATAGCTAAAAAGAAAAAAAAAATAATTAAAATAAATAAAATACATAAAATAGAATAGTGGTTTTATATCTAAATATCATTTATAAACAGACAAAACAACATGTAAAGCTATTGGTATTACATGTAAATATTTACATTTTTTAATAAAATAATCTTTTTTAAAATGATAAATAAAAAAAGCCTATGTTGTATTACATTTAACCATACTTTATATACAAACAAAACAACACAAAAATACACCACAAAAATGGTAAAAAGTTTAAAATATAAAAATAAAAATTAAATAAATTAAATAAAAAACAAAACAAACTGCAACATAATAAAATAGAATAAAATAAAGAATAAAATAAAATATAATAAATAAATAAATGAATAAAACAAAAAAATGTATATATGTATATATATATATATATATATATATATATATATATATATATATATAATAAAATTAAATTAAATAAAAAATATAAAATATAATAAAATAAAGAATAAAATAAAATTATAAAAATAAATAAATAAATAATATAAATAAAAAATAAAATAAAATAAAATAAAATAAAACAAAATAAAATAAAAAAATAAATAAAATTAAATTAAATTAAAAATAAAAACATAAATAAAATACCTATGTGGTATAACATTTATAAACAGACAAAAAACGGATTGCTGACTACAACAAATTTTACTACATGTAAACATAATTTAGATAAATTGCCCAAAGATAAAACTATATAAAAAGAAATAGTAAATAAATGAATAGTAAAATAATTTAAAATATGACAAATCTATTCCAATAAAATCACAAAAGCAAAAAAAATTACTTATTGAACACTGATTGATTGATTGATTGATTGATTGATTGATTGATTAATTGATTGCTGAATTAAATATATTAAAACAATCAAATTGTTTTTACATTTATTGATTACTGAAACCCAACTGTAATGCTAAAACTTCTTGAAAAATCTAAAATGAATATAAATGCAAGAAGGACAAAAAATGCGCACACAAAGATAAGCTCTGACCATTTCACATCAACAAAATCGCTTTATTTTTCTGCTTTCTGTTCCTCGTCTCCTCTGATCCCTCTTTCCTATCATATTCATTTCATTAGCTCCCTCATTCTCAGCCGAACAGCTTTCTGCTTCTCTCCCTCATGTCTGTCTCCTCAATTGTTCACTCAAGTGTTTGCTTTCATCTCTGCAGAACGCCACACACAATAAGACGCATAAACAATTTTGTGTCCTTTTGATTTTGTATAAATGCACGCATAAAAACACATACACAGACTGCAGACGCACGACATCATCTTATTTGCTCTGCTCTGTCTTTCTGTGTTTATGGTTATGCCTTTAATTAAATGAAATATGGTTGCTTCATCCTTTATATGGATTTGATGATGGCGAAACAAACCGGATTTGGGCTGATTTATCCCAGTCTGTCTATGGATAGGTCTGCAATAGACTTTTGTTTTGTATTTTTTTGTATCATACACAATATTTTTTATTATGGGTTTGCATAATGATGAACATTAAGGCATATTCTGAATATGCAAAATGAGAAATATTACAGAAGAATGTTCTGTTGTTCTTACCGTCCACTAACAATGAAGCAGGCCACAAGCAGGACCAGGAGAACTGCACCGCCGGCCACTGAAATAGCCAGTATGGTTTGCTGGTTTGGATCTCCGACTGCCAGCATGTCTAATAGAAAGAGATCAAGATTAAAACAATTACAATTATGAAGACTTTTTCTTGTGCATAAAATGAGTAATATAATTGTTTAAAAGCATGAAAGGCTCAGTCAGGGGTAATTTAGTGTTTTTAATTACCATCAGGTTTTTGAGTTAAATATTAATGTAATTAATTAAAATATATTTTTAAATAAATACATAAATACATATTTTTATCATTTAAATGCACTCTTGAACCTAATTATATGTAGATCCTAGAGTACACTTTTTATTATGCCATTTTATTTTTTTAGTTTAATCTAAATTAATTTACTTAAAAATATGCAAATATGCTGTGCATTTAAAAAAAATATATATAATAAATGAATTTTTCGTTATATTGTCATTTACAAATCTCAAATAGCCAACTCTTAAAAAAATTAGAAATGTAAGAAAATCCACATAAACACATACATTTTTGATACTATTGCATACAGTTGGAGACAGTTTCATACAGTTGGAGACTCTATACTGTAATAAATAACTCACCTGTGATATTTTTATTTTTTAATTCTCTAATGGAATTAATTTTTTTTTATTCATTGACAGAGCAAAGATTTGTTTACAGTATTTCCTATAATATATTTTCTTCTGAAGAAAGCCTTTTTTTTCGGGGGTAGAATAATACTACCATGATAAAAATAAATAAATAAATAAATAAAAACAGCTTAAACCAACCTAAGCTGGTTGGCTGGTTTTAGCTGGTTGACCAGACTGATTGTAGATGGGTTTGTCCATTTCCAGGCTGGTTTCCAGTTATTTCCAGCATGGTCTTAGCTGATCAGACTGGAAAATGACCAGCTTAAACTAAGCTGGCCAAGCTAGTTATAGCTTGTTTTAGCTCGTCATTTTCCAGCTTGGCCAGCTAAAGACCAGACTGGAAATGGCTACCGCATGCCTTTTTGTTCTTTTGGGGGAAACTGGAGCACCCGGAGGAAACCCACGTGAACACGGGGAGAACATGCAAACTCCACACAAAGTTGCTGTGTACTTCACCCTAGCTGGGGCTTGAACCAGCAACCTTCTTGCTGTGAGGCGATTGTGCTACCCACTTCAACACCATATTTTGCTAAATATCTATTTAAATATCATGTATCAATGCAAAAGAAATTAGTGATTAAAACTATTACATTTAAAAAATGGGTAAAAAAATATATTTTTTCATAAAGAATTAAAAATTCCACAGCAGGGTAATAATTTTCCCTTCAACTGTTCATCCTGTTTAGCTATCCTGACATCATCAACAGATGCTATTACAAACAAAAATAGCCGAGAGACTTCAGTGCAGAAACAAAGAGAACAAAGTAAGCTAAAATAAGCTGAATTTCAGCAGATGATGTTCCAATCAAACAATTTAAGAAAAAAAAAAACCTCACTCTAATCATGCGCACAGAATGCAAGCGTGCGCCATATGCTACACAAACTAAGAGCCGAACGCAGCGGGGCATCTGCCGACTCTCACACTTCAGAGAAACACTGACAGAAAATCTACATGCTCAGACTTCAAACACCTCTGCGAGTGAGCAAACCGCAGCGCCACGAGCCTCCACCGTCTCAGGGGACTAATTCAACGTGTTCACATGTATGAATATTTCACAGGCTCTTTCCACACGCATGGCAGATCGGAAATTCAATCAGTGGCATGTGATGAAAAAATACACTGGTGTGACACCGGTTACAGTTTGGAGGGGGGAAAATGAGTTGCCAGAATGTCCTTGAAAAGATGAAAATATTCAGGCGCAAATGTGAAATCACAGGTTTGGTGACACTTACAGAGTCAGAAAATAAAAAGGGTTTCAAAAAAAGAACATTGTGAATGGGTTGCAATAAAGCAGTAAGCTATAAAAAATTTCTATCTATATATATATATATATATATATATATATATATATATATATATATATATATATATATATATATATATATATATATATATATATACATACATATATATATAAGGACAATTTTATTTTAATGTCCAAAAATGACATTGATATTTGGTTAATTTTAGGTTGTGTTAGAAAGTGACCAAAATCCAACACCCAGCCAACATTTGAACCCAACATCATTTCAAGAGTTCCCACTTACAGTAGATATGCTTGGCATTTATAGCAGGTTTGGCATGCTGTCCCAGGAGAGAACCCTGAGCTCGGAGATATTTGATCCCAGGGCTCCCGCCCGGTCTAGAAGCATATCAGGGGATCCGAGATCAGGTAGGTCTCGATCGCTCCCCCTTTAGAAGGGGAGAAATAGGAGGAGTTGGGGTGGAAGGGGGGATTTTTACAAAAAGAAGATGATTGCAGAAGATGAAGCAATAAAGAGAAAGTGATCCATTTATATTAAGCTAGGATCATTCTGATTGGATTATTACTGATTACAGATGAGTGGCCAGCAGTGCACAACCATATCACGTGCTCCTCTTGAAATTAGTTTGTGAAACTTTACATTGACGTCAAATACTGACATTTATTCATCAGGTATGACAACCAAAATCCAACATTTGATGGACGTCATAGTGGTTATGTCCACACAATGTCAAGCTGTAACATCATTAGACATTGTTATTTGGTTAATTTTAGGTTGGAGACTGATGTCGGCTTGACGTTGAGTTCTGTCATCAACCCAATTTTAATTTCCAAACAAAATGGCACATTGACGGTGCAACGTTAGGTACAATGTCAATCTGATGTCATGTTGAAACACCTACTGGGTGTTTAAGGCCATTTCAGTCAACAGACAGTAAACATCCGTCATCTTTTCATCAGTGACAGTGACATCTAAACGGTCTCTGGGCCAATGTGTGTAAAGATTGGACATCTTCTTGGACACTTTTAATGCTTCCAAACAGTTTGCTGCAATTATAAATTGCCCATGTCTTGTACTCATGAGAAAGTAAAAGTACACATTTTTAAAAACGACTTAGTACATTACAATTTCTGAGAAAAACTACTCAATTACAGTAGTGAGTATTTGTAAATTGTTACTTTACACCACTGCTGCTCTCCATATAATTATATATATTATATAAATAAAAATCTAATTTCTTCACACTCATACTTCACAGTGTTAGATTGTACATTCAGAAAGGACTTATACATTAAATTGCCATAAACCTTTGCCCTCATAAAACCCAGAAAAGTGGCTAAAAGTGGACAAAACAGACAAATAAAAGGACCAGATAAACAGGAAAGTGTCTGTCTTGTTTACATGTAAAGCCAGGTGCAAACAGGGCGTTGATTAGAATAGTTTATGGACATACATGTAGTTTATGGACATACAAACACACAAAGTTAATTTAGGGCCATATACTTGCAAAATATAAGAAAGCTTTGCATACAAAAAATAAAGAATTGAGCAAAACAAATAAATAAATAAATACAAATCTGCAAAAATCCCAAAGCGAAATTTTCACACACACACAAAAAAAAACTGCAAAAATAAAAATAAAAAAATCAAACAGTGAAAAAAAAAAAAAGACGAAAAAAAAACGATATATTGTGAGTTTGCGACGCTGCACATTTCTTTTATTTTTTTATTCTTTCTTTTTATTTTTTTATTTGCACTTCACATTTCTGCGTGTTTCATTTTGTGGCTCTGATTAGACAAGGGGCTGTAAGCGCTCAAGTTCTCTTGACTTTTCCTTCTTGTCAAATCAGTGCCACATAGTGAAACGCGCAGAAACGTGAAGTGCAAAGTGAAAACAGCGTCCCAAACTGACTGTTTCCTAAAAAGTAAATCAAAATGAGGCAATGCTATAAAAATGTTTTCCATAAAGAGCTTTTTATTGCAAATATTTAAGTTTTTTTGCACTGCTTGATTTTTATTTGAAGTTTTTTTTTATTTGCAAATTTTATTTTTATTTCTCAAAACTTTATTTTCCGTTTGCAGTTCTTTTTTTTTTAGAAATAATTTTTTTCGCAAAAATTTATTTTCGCTTTGCGATTTTTGGAGATTTGCATTTATTTATTTATTTTTGCTCAATAGTTTTTGTTTGCAAAACTTTCTTTTATTTTGCAAGTATATCTGGCCCTAGATTGACTTCATACTTACAAGGGATGCTATTCCACTCACCCTCGTGGCTCGTCTCCAACTCAATCTCTCCCTTATAGTTCCCATATCCTCCATCAGTACGTGCTCGAACCCGGAAGATGTATGTAGTTCCCGGTTTAAGCCCGTCCACCGTCATGCTGTTGGATTTTGTCTTGAGGACAGTGTAGTTCTGATCCTGCTGGTTCTGTAGAAGAAGTAAATAATAAATGAACAAGACTGCATTCTATGAAGATAGATGCCTCTATCCATCACACAACGATTCCTGTCGCGCAAACCTATAACCTTTGCAAAGCCATTCATAAGGAATTGGCTCCAATTTACAGAAGAACAAGAGAACAAAGCATGCAGATTGGATTCAAATCAGTCAATTGCCAATTAGCAATTAGTTCAGATGGAATTTAGTGCTCGTTCAAGCACATCCTGCCAATGTCTAACACAATGCCTTTCTTGTAGATGGATTGAATTGAATAGAAAAGCAGATTTGTGCATTTTTTCTCTCCTCAAACAGGCCTAACAGCTTTTCGGTTTCCAGTAACTGGAATATATCCAGATAAATGACATCAATCTTATTGACTGCGAGCTGTCGCCTCATTGTCCAGTTCCCATTGTCTAATCCTGAGGAGAATTGCATACAGTGTGCTCATGTTAATATTTCACGGCTTATCGATATCCATTCATCTCCCTTCATGTAAACGCTACGCTAAAAGAGGCACGTGGCGTCTCATTTAGGGAAATCTAGCACTCCAGACAGGAACGGCACGCCCTGCGAGAGAGAGCGAGAGGTGCCCATATTTCCTGTGGTGCTATTAAATCTGAGATGGGCCAAACAGGCGGCATCAAACGGATCGCGGACACAGCGGCAGCCAAGCCTGTCCATCTGTGCGCTCCATCTAAAAGCCACATAGCCCATAATCACCTGAATAAATCATAATAATTACCCATCACCCTGTCTTTATGCCACACAGCCAAATATTGCGGTGCAGGAGGGTGACACGAGACAGCTAAACAACTAACAGCGCCAAATCACTTACTCTGTGTATAGAAATGATGCTAAAGAAAGATGATTATATTTGCCAAACATCGATATTTTGTCAGTATTTCATTCATTCATTTGTTTTTCCTTTGTTTAGTCCCATATTTATCAGCGGGTCACCACAGCGGAATGAACCACCAACTATTCCGGACAATATAATATAATATAATAAAATATAAAATAATATAATATATTATAATATATTTAGTATTACAATAAAATGATAAGGAAAACTAAAAATACTACAGTTTACTATTCACATATTATACTGTTCAGCATAATATTCATATTTTTACCATTAGCGTGTTGAAAGCTTTGATTCTGATTGGCTGATGAACATTCAAAGGTGTGCAATAATTTTCAGGGTCTAGCATTATGGCCATCGGTTCATTATCACCTCGGTTGTGCATCATTTTCTATTCCTTACATATATTATTATATACAAAATTAATAGTTTTAATAGTCATGTTTTAGTAATGAAGAAAGACGATCATATACTGTGTGCAACACATCAATATCTTCTTAGTATTTCAATAAAAGGAAATAATTATGTAACCCACCGGTCCTACTGCACCCAACCTGGTCTGAGCTGGGATCGAACCACTGATTCTTTGTATGGGAGTCAATTGCTCTAGCATGGTGGCTAAAGACCATGGCCCCTAGCATCTGTCACTAGAGCACCTTTAGAAGTCGGAGGATTGAGGTTTACCTGCATATCACTTTGCTAGCTGGCCTCAGTTACACTCACCCCCCCAAAACCTCACTCCTATCCCTGGCGAGCCCCCATGTGTAATATACTATTCGTATGTTATAATGTTTGATATGACATTCTGATTTTTACCACAGGATGTTTAATGCTTGATTATAATTGGTTAATGAGCATTCAAATGTGTACAATTATGTGCATCATGACCACAATATCACCTGGGATGTGCATCATTTTCTACTACTTGCATATATTATTATTTACAAAATTAATCGTTTTAATAGTCATGATTTAGTACTGAAGAAAGACGATCAAATATGCAACACATCAATATCTTCCTAGCATTTCAATATAATTGAATAATTATGTAACCCACCGGTCCTACTGCACCCAACCTGGTCTGAGCTGGGATCGAACCACTGATTCTTTGTATGGGAGTCAATTGCTCTTGCAAGGAAGCTCAAGACCATGGCCCTTAGCATCTGTCACTAGAGCACCTTTAGAAGTCAGAGGAGTGAGGTTTAACTGAATAGAACTTTGCTTCCTTACTACCATCCCAGACGAGCCCCCATGTCTAATATACCGTTCGTATATTATAATGTTCGGTTTCTTTTTTATTCTGATTGGCTGATGAACAATCAAATGTGTGCAATTATGAGCATCATGTCCACATTATCACCTCGGATGTGCATCATTTTCTATTTCCTACATTCAGCACTTTTACGTTTCATGTATGTTTTGTGGTGTTTTGTGTTTGTTTTTTGTTTTGCATTCCCTTCTCTCCTCCGTTGTGTACTCTGTCCTGTCCTAAGTGTGCAACTATTGGTTGAGAAGGCTGTCAATCACCATTATGACACATTCTGTGCACCTATCAGGAGTTGGTCCGCCACGTATAAAAGGCGTTCGCTTACGCTGTTCAGCTCCTCACTTTGTTCCTGTTGTTGTGTAGTTTACCACTCGTTTTAAGTGATCTACTTATTAGATAAGCTTGTAAAGCTCAATTTAGCATTTACATTTACATTTAGTCATTTAGCAGACGCTTTTATCCAAAGCGACTTACAAATGAGGACAAGGAAGCAATTTACACAACCAAGAGCAACAATGAATAAGTGCTATAGGCAAGTTTCAGGTCTGTAAAGTCTAAGAAGGGAAGTATTAGTAGTATTAGTTTTTTTTTTTTTTTTTTTTTTATTATTGGGAAGTCGAACAATCTTCATGAAAATTGGATTATCAGATAAACTCTTGTTTTGCTAATGGCTGACAGTGTGTACTTTGAGAACTCTAGTAATTTTAAGCAGCATTGTTTTTTGTGTTGGTTAGTTTATAGAGGAGTTGTCACATCTGGAATTATGTTCTGGAATAGGCAAGAATTTTAGTCAACAGACGCATACGCTAAAGATTATGATTTTGTTTCTGCATTTTTCTTTGGTTAGTTAGTTTAGTGAGTTGTGGTTTAGTTAGATTGTTTTATTATATTTATTTATTTTATTAGAGAACATTACACTCTATAACATCACATACTCAAAATGACAGCAAACTACAAATGACAACAAACCACATGAAATCAGATCTGACCTTACTTTCACAGCAAGACTCTTTTAAAACTCAATTTATTTGATTTTTGTTTTAAACTGCATGTACAGTAGGTAAAATTCTCATAAAAATTCAAAGACAAAAACTAAATATCTCATTTAAAAGCAGAAAAAAAGGTGTTTTTTGCTGCCTGTCAAAACAAAAAGCCTAAATGATTTGTTGAGCACAATAATAAGTCATCAAGTCTAAAAATGTGACAGCCTTGAAGGTTTTTGGCGCACAGGACATCCATGAATGTTAATTGGAAGCGAATGAAGCATGTCTGTGTTAACATTACAGTCTCTCCCCGGGGTACGATAAAAGTGAGCTGCCATATGTCCAATCACAGTGATGAGGACTCACACGGGGCCAAAAGGTCACCCAGATTCAACTGCGCTGAAGAAAAGAAAGAAAAAAAAAACATCTAACCTTTTCATAATAGGTGACTTCATATTCCACCACGGTCCCGTCAACAGGTTCTGGACCCTGCCATGCCAGCGTCACACTATCAGTGCCCTTCCTTTCCTTTAAGATGACGCTCACTGAAAGAGAAAAAGAGTGAGATGAATTGAGATTGATTTCCATGTAAAAGAGGAGGATTAATTGCAGTTCTAATTAAAGAGTATGAGAGGGCGGTCTCGTCTTTTTTTGGGAGTGATAAATTATTCGGCGTGTGCAGTTCGGAGTCATTTTCACCCGTACTACGGCATTGGCACGCAGCCAGAGCACCTCAGCTCGTCTATTCATACACCCTGCAGCCCGAGCGGAGACAGCGAGAGAGACAGAGGTGCTAATGATGGTGTCAGATTGTGAGTACAAACGAGGGCCTCCGTTTTTGGGCCCCGGCAGCGGGTGATGAATGAAGGAGCTGGCGGTTTGCTCTTTAATGAGCTGTGTGAGTACACCGCTCTGATCGGCCTGACAGTGACACCGCTAACTGTACACACAAACACTCTGAAAGTGAAAAACAAACAGCCGTTCACTGATATCTCGGCATGTGTTTGGTACACAGATAGAAAAAAATACAGACTTTATCTCTCTGCAATCAAGAAAAGCAGCTTAAAATATCAGAGGAGATGGTGTAGCAGGTGAGATAGACAGCTGAACACATATATAATGAATTTACACAAGGACAGTAGTGCACTCTAAAAGAAATTATGCTAAATAGCACTTGACTTGTAATCAGGGGAACCACTTTATGTACTAAAGAGCACTTTTGTCAAATGGTGCCATGTAGAGACATAAGAGTTTTTTTGAGATGTTACTCTACACTCACAATTTTTGCATGTGTTGTCATCTTGAATTGTTATGCATTTCACAAGTTCACACTCACAGACATTTGACTAAATAGATTATGCGTATTTGCCATGCTGTCCGGGGAGAGGGCTCTGAGCTCGGGAAGACACCCTAACTTGTGCTATTCCCCTTATCAGGATAGAGAGAGATGGGTCCGAGCGCATTGTCCAGAACACTCCTCCCTCAGATTTTAATAGGTATCGGCTTTGATAGTGTGGAGTTGGGGTGGTGGAGGGATGCTGAAGTCAAGAGAAAACTGAGGTATGACGTGCTTAAATATTTATTGGGGTTAGGTCGTGAGGTGATTGGATAATGGAATCATTGTCTGATGAATTAGCCTCATTAAAGACTGACCAAGGCTCCTCCCAAAATTTGTTTATAAAACATCACTTCTAAGGTCAAGATCAATCAATTCTTAGGTAAAACCTGGTGTGTTTGCTTATTTACTGTCAAAATTAAAAGCACAAAATCTGTCATTGTAATGGCACCATTTCAAATGGTACATGTTTGTACATAAAAGGACCGCATTTAGCCCTTTAATGTAAACTTTACAACCATTTAGGAACTAATATGTACACTTTATATAAGAAGACTATATATGTGCTGTTCTACTCCATCACTGAGACTGAGCAAATGCACAGAACAGTTTGCTATTAAAAACATGAATAAATCTTACATCAGTATGTCAAGTGTGCATGCTGTAAAAGTTACATTACATGATTTCAAATGCTTCTTGTTTATTGTTTTCTATAATTGTTGTAAGCCAAGTTTGATATTAAAAGGCAAGGCAAGTTTATTTATATAGCACATTTCATACACAGTGGCAATTCAAAGTGCTTTACATAAACATGAATAAAAGAGACAAGTATAAGAAAATAAAAACAAATAATAAAAGTAATTAAAAAAATATAAAACGTGTTAAAATAGTTTATAAAATAATGAAAAAGAGAAAAACATAATAGTGCAATCTGTCGAACGCAGCACAGTGCTCATTCAGAACAAAATTTTAAATGATTGCACAGCAATTATTTGAGTTTGTGATATTTTTGGTAACATTATAAATGTCTGCACAGTCACTTTAGGTCATATCTGTCAACATTGGGATGTGAAAATAAGGGATATCCCCCCCTAAATAAATTCCCAAATAAATGCCCAAATTACTAAATATGTTCCTCTGGAGCTGTTTCATTGTAAACAAACAGGAAAACAGTCAGTAATATGTTTTATTATTATTTACAAAAGAAAAATGAGGAGTATACATTAGCAGCAAATAAATGAGCTTATTAAAATTAATAGCTATAAAGAAACAGAATCACGCTATCGAATCTCTTCTAAATCTTTTCTTCACTGTATAACTTACACATTCTGGTTAAAGAGCAGCGAATGAATCTCATTTATTTGGATTTTTCCATTGATTACATTAAATAATACAGGTGTCATTTTAAAAATTCAGAGATCTAACATTATAATGAAAGCATTCGACTGCTTTCCAAACTTTCTATGCTCATTTAGGATAAAATTAGTTGTGTTTAGAAAAAAAAAACAAGATCGACATCTTTAGATGTTATTATTATTATTATTATCATTATTATTATTATGTATATATGTCTGTTCAAACACGCACCCAAAATCTAGACTTTCGCTTCAAATCGTGTGTACAGAAGTCTATTTGTCACTATATAGAGCCTGTCTGACAGTCACGCACTGCTATTTGACTGCATTGGGGATGGTAGAAAAGGGGAGACAGCACCTGTAATAAAAAAAGGGAATCCCGCCATTTTTATAATTATTTCAAGTGCTTCCATGCTAAATAAAATAAAACACAGAACAGACTCACACTTAAGGCTGATTTATACTTCTGCGTCAAACACCGGCGAATGCTACGGCGCTGACGCATAGCCCTTCGCCGTGGCCGTCACCGTCACTGACGTGCACCTCTCAAAATATGTAACTACACGTCGCAACGACGCGTAAGCTCTGTGATTGGTCGGCTTGGTAGCGCTGACGCTGTGGAGTGTGGAGTACCGTGAAGGAGCTCCGGATGGAAAGTTTTGTTTTGTGTTTACCTCATAGTTAAAGTTGTTGCACGTCCGCTGGTTCCTGCCTCAAAATGATGGAGTTTGAGCCACTTGTACATCCCAGAAGTGTTCAGGAAAAGCAATAAAGCAGCGAAGAAACTCGACACAGAGGAACATTTACACCTCACTGCCAACTAGCGTTTCGGAAGTGTTAATGCAGACCGACAGAGACAGCGCGCAGAAGTATAAATGCACAGCTACGTGCGTTGCCTGCGCAGTGGGTTACGCTGGTCACCAGACGCAGAAGTATAAATCAGGCTTTAAGAGCAAGGGTCGTCCCCTGGTGGTTCGGCAGTATGGGTTGTGTTCAAGGAGGATTTGCTCTTTAATGTTTATTGCCACCCTTCATAGAAAGACTGAACATACGGAAGAAATACCATTCCGGGATGAAAGCAGGATAGAAATGTAAAATACAGGAGAATCCCGGGAAAAATGGGAGGGTTGACAGGTATGCTTTAGATTCAATTCACTTTGTATTTGCAGAATTTTAATGGCGGTGTCAACAGTCAAAATAACACATTTTATTTAGAAATGAATCATCAAAAATCATTTTGTAGTCTTTTTTAGCATTTTTGTAATCTTAGTCATGTAGTTTGTAGACTTTTTGTAGTCTTAAAGAATCTTTTTGTAGTCTTTAAGAATGAAAACCAACACAAACACATCCTGCGTCAACTGTATTCCATTAGCCATTCATATATGTAGCATTAAAACACCTATTCCTTTCATATCCATAAATCAGCTTTACGCAACGCATTCATCATTCCACACTTCCTCCCAATTTACATTTATAAATATTCTGTCTAGCATCTTTCTTACACCTGCCGATGAAAGACGTGCTCCGAAACATCAGTCAATATCCACATCATGCAAAACATGCAAGCGGAGGCTCTACATCATCCCGGAAAGCCTCCTCTCGACACTCTTCAATATTTCAAGCAGCACAGACCAGAGGCCAAGCACTCAAAACATTGACCAATCGTGGCCACCCAGACCTCGAGCAGGCCCCTCCCAGGCTGGCGTTTCCACGGTTACAGGCATGTCAGCTCTCATAAGAGTGAGGGGCTGTTGATGTGGGCATTCAGGGTGAGTCTCCTCTCAGGCTTCTCATTACGCCGCCCGTCTCTTGTTCTCTGAGGGCCTGAATCACAGTTAACCGCTGGATCAGGAGAGCTTGTATCTCCTCTCCACCAATGACAGGCCGACAGACACACACTGAGAGAGGTTTAAAGGTCAGGGATAGAAAAAGAGGAGCCACTGAAGTACAGAGCAAGCAGTGTTAAATTCTGAAGCAGGAGGTAGGAGACAAAAATTCGGAGGTTTAAGAGTTCAGTTGTGTGACTTGGGATTTTATTAACTGGGAAATTGCTGATGGACGTTGAGTACTATGTAACCTTGATCCTTCTGACAGAGAGAACGAGTTATGAAATATCTGCATCACAAAAGGGAAAACAAATGGATACTGCATAAATAAATATTGCATGTCCTTGTAAAAATTATTATTGTGTAGAACAAAGGGTTTGGTATTCAGATGTCAATGACACTCATATTCAAGCATCCACTTGCAACAGCTCTATGATAACAATAATGATGAAAAATAATGCACATTTTAAATTATTTAATGACATTTTTAATGTATAAAAGGCTCCTTTATACTGCATATTTTAAACAAACATTTTTCTTATATTGTATATATATTTTATATTTTATTTATTCATTGCAATATAATGATATATATATAACAATTTGACTGAAAACAAAGTAAACGCATTAAATTGATTAAATAAAAGAACCATTAGCTGCAAATATACTGAATAATAACTTGATACAAGACTATAAAATAACTCAATAAATTTGTTATGATTATTGTTATACCATTTGTAAGCACGCCAAAACAACTAAAATTATAAATAACCTAATCAAATAAATAAAAACATAAATAAAAAAAAGAAAAATAAATATTAGTTGCAGAAGAAATTGTAATAATTATTTTATATAAAACTACACATTACTATGTTAAACTTTTATATGGATATTGTACTATATTATTCATATTACATACATTTTTATCAAACCAAAGAAGGTCACACTTTACAATAAGGTTCATTAGTTAATGTTAATTAATGCATTTACTAAGATGAACAAACAATAAACAATACATTTACTACTGTATTTGTTCATGTTAGTTAACGTTAGTTAATGAAAATACAGTAGTTCATTATTAGTTCATGATAACTAATGGTGCATTAACTAATGTCAACAAGCATGGACTTGAATGTTAATAATGCATTAGTAAATGTTTAATTATGATTATTAAATGCTGTACATGTGTTGTTCATGATTAGTTCATGTTAGTAAATGCATTAACTAATGAACCTTATTGTAAAGTGTTACCCCAAAGAATATATAATATTTAGACAGACGCCCCACTTTTTAACAATATTTTTATTATTTGCGATAAAAATTATTTGTGGTGGTAATTCTCAGAAATTTGCAGACAATTTTGCGATTAAATATATATATATATATATATATATATATATATATATACAGCCCTGTAAAATTCCAAAGCAGGAGACTAAAATTCAAGATAAAATTCAAGAGATTTAAAGAGCACAGGTGTAAAAATGTGTGACTGAGGACTTTTTTTTTACCTTGCTGAAGGACATTAAATACTACATAACCCTGACCCTGCTGACAGAGAGAAAGACTTACGTGTGTCATGTTTCATTCAAAGTTTATTGGTACCAATTCAATTAAAAAAGGCAAAAAGGGAAGAAATATTGTATGTCCTTGAAAAAATATTTAACAAAAGGCTTGATATTTTGAAGAAACCTAACATAAAAATATCCACTTGATATAAAAGAAAATATTTTAGATTTTCATTTATACTTGAAATTACTCATATTAAAAATGAAAAGTTTTACATGTTTACTAACACAACAATATTTTTTAAATATATTATTATGCTTAAATTAAATCCTTTATACGTAAATTGCAACATACATATTTTAGATGCTATTAGACCATATTATTGATTTTAAATAACAATTTTCATTGCAATCTGAATCGATTTCAATTACTCATTTCACAATAAATAAATAATTAATCATTAAAAAATAAATATTAGATGCAGAACTTTCAGTTTATAAATGAACTGACACACAACAATGAATTACTACATTATTATTTTATATAGCATTATATTATAATAATTATAATCAGAACAAAGCAAATGAAACCATATTTAGAGAAATATGAATTTAATATAATATTTTAATCATATCAGTTAACAAAATTATTAATTCTTACATTCATATTTTCTTACATTCATATTTTATATAGTATTGAACAATATGGAATTAAGTCAGCTAAACCACTAAAAGATTTTGTGTTTAAACGACGTCTAATAGACATCTAAATATAGACGTCTTGATTAATAGAAGGCTAAATTAAGGCTAAGTGACGACTTAAAACAATTAAAACAGACCAATCATCAAAAAGACAGGAAACTTAGCTTAGGTTTAGCCAGAAGATCATTGTTTGGATATCTTTAAACGTCTTTTATTTACACACAAAAAATCCTTGTTGGGACTGAATTTCATTTTAAAATATTTAGAGACATTAATCTAATGAACAAATAAATATAAGTTGCAGAAATTAATGAATGAACTATTTATATGATACTATACAAAGATGAGCTTTTTTAATTTCTTAAATATAAACTCAATGGTCAACGGAATAAAATAATCTGAATCTGCCACTATGCTGACACATAGGCATTTGTATCTTCACCCTCTTTTGAAAAGAGGTCTAGGAGCACAGTCTTGTTAGAATTTAAAGCAACAGTCACCAAAATGGAACAATTAGGATCAAAGTCTTAAAGGGGCAGTTTTAAAGAGTTACTTATGTGATATTTTGAGCTGAAAATTCACATACAGCACATTTTGTAAAAAGGGGCATCGTAGGTCCCCTTTAAGCAGTCCAAGTATGTTTTAGTGCAGGGATCGGCGTTGTGTAGATGTTAATAAAACACAATAGGATACTTTAATATGTAGGTTTCAGATTGGTTAAGATCTTAATAAACACCATAGGTGGACTCTGTGTCACATACAACATTAAATAAACAAATTACAAGCACCAGGGGATTCATTTGTAAATGTGGCGTGTGCACAAAACGGACAGAAATATGTCTTAGAAATATGCCGAAAATGTTGTGATCTTTAAAAAACTAACTTGAGGAGAGAATGTAGGCAGCTGTATGTAAACTCTAACATATGTAACTTATATATTGATTTAAATAAACCACTTCAAACTATAGAATGATGCCGTAATCATTAACAACTAAATTACAATTTATTCTAGTGTACGTTTACTTTTGGGAAGGTTTTTACGTAGATTTTAGAAATCAGACCCCAGTCATCTTGTGGCTTAAATTCCACCCATTTAGAGCCGGCTCTGACCTCTGCTTATACCAAACCCAAGCACTCTGACAGTAACTTACAGTAAGACAGACAGAAAACCTGTTGTTAAAGAAACCGAATGTAACAGTGTGACATCTCACCTGTCTGACTGGTGGTGACGTTGACAGACACCAGCTGACGTGGACTGGGGCTCAGATCTGAGACTCCATTCAGGGCTTCAACGCTGAAGGTGTAATTGGTGTGTGGCTGCAGTTCAGTGACCAGAACTCTGGGGTGCGTCAAGCCGAACTGTCTGGGGTTGAAGTGTGCGCCGCTGCCACAGGGAACACACCTCTCTGACGCCCCTGTTTCGCCAGAGCACTTTCTGCAGTGGACACTATAGCTGACATCTCCACGTCCACCACTGTCTCGGGGAGGACTCCATTCCAGAGTCACCGCTGTCTCGTTCACCATCGAAATCGGGTTACCTGGTGCTGAAGGTGGTCCTGATGACAGAAGTAAAGCAGGTAACAATAATATAGGGACCAGGTCTCACTATTAATTGTCTTTAATTTCCATGTTGGCTGTTTACTATTACATATTCCACAACCATATATTTTTCCCCATTGGTATAATCTTACTTACTAAACATCACTAATAATGCACCCTTAAGGTTTTAATGCTTTATTAATGTATCAGCTTACTTGTGCAGGCCATAGAGCGAGGGTCTGATTCTGCTCGATAGAAACCTCGTTCACATACACACTCAGAGGCCTTGTCCTGGTGAGAGTAGCTGTGTGGAGGACACTTGACACAGTACGCATCCATAGCTGAGGCCTTGTAGAAGCCTGACCGACATGCTGTTGAAGAAGAAAAATATATATTTTTATATTTATGTATTTGGTATATAACAATAGATCCATCGGCAGAACAATAGACACAATGACGAATAACAGAATAATAGCTGGAACGATAAATGGAGGAAACGATAAACAATCAATATCCGATAAATGCAAAACAAACTAAACGACTAAATAGAATGATCAACAAACAAATAGATATACACCAAATGGATTAAACAACTGTACAAAGACAACAAAGAACTAATGATAGATGACAACAAACAAACAATCAATCAATCAGATGACTAGAATGAGAGAAAAAAGAAATATAATTGAAAGACTGTAAAATAAAAAAGCAAACAAAAAAACTATTCAAAAATAAAACAAAGAGGGGTAGAATGAACAAACAAACAAAATGGGTAGAACATAAAATGGTAGAGTGAACAAACAATTGATATATAGATAGAATTAGCAAACAAACAATAAACAAATGACAAAGCAAACAAACAAACAATAAATAGTAGAACAAACAAATAAAAACAGAATGAACAAAATTGGCAGATGTTAAGAGCAAACAATTGATTTATTTAGAAGTAAAAACTGAACAAATAGATTGAACAAATGATAGATGACAAAATGACTGAATTAAAAACAGATGGACAGCTCAAACACAAATGATGAATAGAAAGAACAAATAACCAGAAGATAAAAGACTGAATGAACAATGAACGAAGAGATGAATGGAAGAAACAACTAGATGAATGGACGGATGGTCGGACAGAATGGATGGATGGATGGAAGGATGGTCGAACAGAATGGATGGATGGATGGATGGTTGGACAGAATGGATGGATGGACGGATGGTTGGACAGAATGGATGGATGGACGGATGGTTGGACAGAATGGATGGATGTAAGGATGGTTGGACAGAATGGATGGATGGACGGATGGTCGGACAGAATGGATGGATGGATGGACGAATGGTCGGACAGAATGGATGGATGGATGGACGAATGGTTGGACAGAATGGATGGATGTAAGGATGGTTGGACAGAATGGATGGATGTAAGGATGGTTGGACAGAATGGATGGATGGAAGAAATGGATAGATGGACAGATCGATTGATGACTAGATGAATGGACAGAAGAAACAACTGGATAGATGGATAGATGGATGGATGGATGGATGGATGGATGGATGGATAGAGAGATGCCTGGATGGATGGACAAAAGAAACAACTGGATGGATGAACAGATGGATAAAAGAAGCAACTAATCAGATGAATGGATGAATGAATAGATGGATTGAATAAACAACTGTATGGATGGATGGACAGATAAATAAATGGATGGACGGAAGAAGCAACTGGACGGATGGATGGATGAATGGATGGACGGACAAGTAATAACAGGATGGATGAATAATTGAATGAACAGTAGAAACAATTGGGTGGATGGACAGAAGAAACAACTGGTTAAATGGTCAGAAGAAACAACTAGACGGATGGACGGATGGATGGACAGAAGAAACAACTGGTTGGATGGATGGATGAATGGACAAGAAACAACTGGATATATTGACGGGTGAAAGGACATGAAACGACTGGATGGATTGACGAATGAAAGGAGAGATGGACAAGAAACAACTAGATGGTTGGATGGAAGAATGGATGCATGGACCGAAGAAACGACGGATGGACGGATGGATGAATTAATGGAAGGACAGAAGAAAGAACTAGACAGATGGATGGATGAATAGAAGAATCAACTAGACGGATAGAGGAATGGTTGGACAGAAGAAACAACTAGAAGGATGGAGGGATAGATAGACAGGAGAAACAAATGGATGGATGGATAAACGGACAGACTGAACAAAACATGGATGGATGGATGGATGGAATTAATAAATGAATAACTGGATGAATAAACAAATGGATAGATGGAGTTGAGCATTAGTTAATTATCATTCACCATCCTACATTTACATATCAAACCTACTCTCTAGCACCAAACACATCCTACCCCATGAATGACATCATACAGTACAGATATGCTCATGTTAATCAATTCAAACAAAGGCCATTTACATACAGACATCTTAAAGGTACAGAAGCCGACATAGACTACTGTACTACTGTATTTGCAACGAGCAAACGACAATGTTTAAAAATTCAAGTAAAAATAAACCACGGCTGATCTGGAGCAACAATTTTTATACCTAAAATCAAAAGTAGACGTTATCTGTGCCTCTTATAATTGAAAAACACATAATCTTAGTGAAGAGCAAGTTAAAGAGAGCAGTTTTCCAATGTTATGTGCGAGGTTTCCCCTCAGCTCTCGTCACTTTCTCCAGCGAGGCATAACTAACATCTCGATGCAGCATTACTGAGGCCCGACTGGAGGCACGTGCTGCCCGTGTTTGTATGTGTGAGGCCTGGGTTAAGTTGGAGCTGAGTGAGTCAGTGATTGGTGTGTGTGTGTGTATGTGTGTATGTGTGTGCGCATTAGAGCTCTTCCCCCTCAGGGACGCCGTGCCAGACTCCCATGTTGCCCCTGAACTAAAAGCAAACCCTATATTTCTGCAAACACATCCCAAACATGTCAGTTCTTATCAGCCACAGCACAATGACTCCAACATATTTCCCTTTCCAGAAGAGGCTTTTGGAGCGCTTAATACTGAACTCCAGACTGCACTAATGGAGTGGGGAGTGACGGCAGCTTTGAGAAGCAGTTAAAGGTGGATGTAGTTTTGAGAGGTGTTGCTTGTAAATTTAACCACGCTAAGTGACTCAAGCTGCGCTGTAATTAATAACTCAAACACAAAGGCTGGCTTGAGCTCCAAGGCAACTTCATTAGATAAGATGAAGTCATGCTTTATCCCTCTGCTGTGTATAGTTTATATTCACTTGTATATTTATGTATACTGTGTTATTTCTATGCAGTGTATGTATATCCCGGTTTAAACTAATCTAAAAAGATTACAATAGACATGAAATTAATATTTTGGTATTTTATAATTATGTTGTTAAATTAAGTGTTTTAGGGGAGACGCGGTGGCTCAGTAGGTAGTGCTGTCGCCTCACAGCAAGAAGGTCACTGGTTCGAGCTGGGTCATTTGGCATATCAGTGTGGAGTTTGCATGTTCCCCCACGTGTTCATGTGGGTTTCCTCCGAGTGCCCGGTTTCTCCCACAGTCCAACGATAGTTGGTACATGTGAACTGGGTAAGCTGAAATTGTCCGTAGTGTGTGTGTGTGAATAAAAGTCTGTGGGTGTTTCCCAGTGGAAGGGCATCCGCTGCGTAAAACATATGCTGGATAAGTTGGCAGTTCATTCCGCTGTGGTGACCCCAGATTAATAAAGGGACTAAGCCGAAAATGAATGAATGAATTAAGTGTTTTAATATATCCAAAATGGTTCTGGTTTTATAAATGCTTTGAATTAATTTATTTCTTGCTGTTTATATATGGTATTATTCAATCAAAAATCTCATAACAATTTGTAACTTTCTGTTTAAGTGGCTAAGCCATATTAATTTATACAATCTCATTCATTTCCCTTGGGTCTCAACCTACTGAACTCAAACCTCAGCCGTTGAACAATACTCACTAGTAGGGTTGTGTAATTAATCGAAATTTAATCGCAACCGCAATTTGAAACATTGCGAATAGCTAAAACTCAAGAGGCTACAACATGGAATATGTAATTTCCCCAACCCAGAGCAAATGTGTGACTGTCGTCTGTGTGTGACAGTCTAACTAGACAGTTCAGTGAGCCCTCTTTTCTTCTGCCCAACCAGAATTGTGCGACCAAACTATGCAGAATGTCCACCAATTAAAACGAACAAACAGGAAAGCACTGACAAGTTGGATCATGGTGTCTACCGCTTCAGAAGCTTTAATAGATGAATTCATGTCTTAGAAAAAAACAGCACGTTGGTAATATGGGAATATTTTGGGTTCAAAGTCACAGACACCAAACAAAAACAGGTAATTTGTAAGAACTGTTGCCACAGCGCGAGGAAAAACAACAACTAGCACCTAAAAAAGTACCACAACATATGTATGTCTTGCTAAAAAGTCAACTAAAAATACTGCCAGTGACACTCAATCTAGTAGCAAGTAACAGCAAAGTACAATTTCAGAGTTGTCTGCAGCCGTTACACGATATGAAAAACCATCACAAAGGCAGAAAGACATAATAACCAACCTCACTAAAGACACGGTGCCTTTTAATGCAGCGACCAAAAAGGGATTTAAAAACCTCATTTTGATGCTGAATAGTAGATATACACTTCTGTCTTGCACATATTTAGCCATTTTGCAGTGCCACAGCTGTGCGTTGAATGTCGTGATATTTCGAGTAGCATCTACGATAATTATTTTGATTATTGTTTTTTCTGAAATAATTATTACAAAAAGGCACTTGTCAGCCATGCTAGTTTGCTGAGTGTTCTTTTTTAATAGTTTTTTTTTTGTATAATAAGCTACACTATCATCTTAATTTAAGTTGAACTTGTTTACAGAAAGCTAGTATCATTTTATTTGAGCAGTAAGAAGTTACAATACAGATTACTGAGCTGTATCTCGTCTACAACATTAAATCACAAATCAAATCGAAATGCCAAAAAAAAACTCTGCAATTAGATATTTTCTTAAAATCGCACACAGTCCTACTCACTAAATGTACCATTTTTTAAGATACTGTAATTATGTAACTTGCAGCCGCTACATAACTTACTGTATAATGCACCTTATACGCATTGTATAGTGCGTCAATGTCTACACTGCTGCACCTTGTATGATATTACCCTTTACCCTTAACATCATATAACTTGCACTACATCTTATAAAGTTGTATATACATATTTTTATACATTTATACTCTTGTAACATCATATGCACTCACTGGCCACTTTATTAGGTACACCTTGCTAGCACCGGGTTAAACCCCCTTTTGCCTTCAGAACTGCATTAATCCTTTGTGCATAGATTCAACAAGGCACTGGAAAAATTACTC